CAGACTGACATGAAAAAGCAAATATCGCGAAGTTTTGTACGATACACTTTATTTTTTAGTGTGGAATTTTGATGTTTTATAACATTTATTAAGGAAGAATGTCTAAGTTTTCTAGAGTTTTATTTGTAAGACGGCTTCTCTCCTCTGAAAAACGAAACTTAATAAGAAAAAGTAGCTCACGGGCTTCTTTTAATTTGTCCGAGCCGGCTATTGAAGCTTATTTGAAAAGAATGATGTTCGAGCATGAAGACCTCTATATGAAAACCAAGAGAACTCCAGAAGAATCTCGACGTTATTTTCAAATAAAACCAATCGTCAATGTACTTCAACACCGCATTTCTTTGCTTGATAACATTGCATCACTTAAACAGCAAATTAAGACGAAATACTCAGGAAGTGATGATGACGCTGCTGAGATGAAAAGAATGATAAAAGAAGAAAGTAAAATATATGAAAAACGTATGGAAGATATCGATCGGGAATTACAAATGATGCTCCAAGAACCAAACCTAACGGAAAGTGTAGTACTATTGGAAGTCAAGGCTAAAGCAGGTGGAAAGGAAGCTATGAACTTTGCGCAAAATTTATTCGAAATGTATAAATCATATGCAAAATATAAAGACTGGGAAACTAGCATCGTATCTTATGAGAAGTCAAATGAGGACGGAATTATGAAAGCTTCAATGTTCATTGAGGGTTTAGGTGCATTTGAATTTATGAAAGTAGAGGCTGGGCTACATCGTGCTCAAAAAGCCTCTGCCACCAAGGAAGACGGTCAGGAAATCCAAACTAGTACAGTAGCTGTGACCGTTTTTCCAACGCCTACTGAGGAAGAACTAAGTATCCCTGATTTTGATATTATCGAAGAGCAACTTTCTAATGATAACTCTGCTCGGATCACTCACGTTCCGACCGGGTTGGTGGTTGAATGTAAAGAAAATAAATTGAAAGCAAAGAATAAACACGTTGCTCTTCAGAAATTAAGAACACTGCTGCTAGAAAAGCAAGATCAAGCAAGCAGCGGCAAATCTAATTCTGAGGTTTTTTGCTTATTTTTATATAAAGTGCATCAACAGGGACACTTTGTTGGCAGAAGTTAAAAAAGAACTACCTGATAAGGTATATTTGGCAGTGTCATAAAAACTTAACACTGTTTTAAATATAGAAAGATAAAGTTTTGAATCCTGCTGTAGTCTGACAACAAGGTGATCCTCTTGACTCGTCATTTTTGGTTTGTCCATTCAACCTATTACCTATTCAGCATTTAATGTTTTGCATATCATAAGTGGCACAGACCTTTTTAACTAGGTAGGTACCTAAAATTTTTGTTTTCCATGCCTTTAATTATTTGGCACCCAACGATAGTAGAAACCTGATGGCATACCAATTGTGCCCTGGAAGTTGGGAAAGCCTTTGGTGTGAAACTGTGAACGCAACTTGCGTCGACACACTTGCACTCTCACCTTCCAGTACCGCCGAGTTGTGCTGGTTCGACTGATAGGTATTATTGCAGAGCACCTCAAACGGCGCAAATAACCTAACTCGTAATTACATATTTGAGCCGGATTGGGATTTTAGGCCAGTGAGGTCCGTGCACATTGTCTATTCAAAGAGATACCGAAACACGTGGTCGAGTTACCTTTTTCGGGAGCAGAGGTCTATTTTTTTTTCGGACATGGCATAAGCATACCTAGGTATATTATTATAATTTGGCAATACTGCCAGCCTCCGGAGCACTTTCCCCACGTGAAAGTAGGTATCGATGAGAATGAATTGTTCGATGCAATGTTTTAGTTTGACTTGTTAAGTACTAAACGGTCTTATTGATAGAATGAAGAATAATGAATATCTGATTTATTACCAATTAATTAAGATATTTATTTTCAATTACTTTTCACACTTTACAGGTCTCTAAGGCAAATGAAGGGCAAGAAGTACGAACTTACGATTATTTACAGGATGAAGTGACAGAACATCGTAGAGGTGGCGGAACAGTTCAGAATTTACAAAGATTCATGGAAGGTAGCGAAACATTGGAGCAGGTCCAAGAAAATTTTCTGAGAGAACAGACATGTCAAACACTCATGGAAGAAATTAATCAATATGTAGCAGAATCAGTCAAAAATTAGGTAGTGTAATTTCTTTGAAGATTTTACAAGAAATTTACTCATCGTTTTGTTATCGAGTTATTAATTTATGAATTAATTTTAAAATAAAAGGCTTCCTCTATTATCTGTAATTTTTAATGTAACTGTGTGGGGAGCCATGCCTCTGCATATACCATAGTCTCACAGAAAACCGGCGTGAAACAACCGCAGCGTTATGTTTCGCCATGTGAGGGTTACCGGAGGTCCAATCCTTCCGCTCCCTCAATCCCTAAATCTCCAAATCCCTAATCCCCAAAAGGTCGACAACGCACTCATAACTCCTTTGTTGTTGCGGGTGTCCATGGGCGGCGCTGATTGCTTACCATCAGGTGGTCCGTCAGCTCGTTTGCCAACCTATCGCATAAAAAAAAATTGTTTTCTTATTTTAATTAAATATACAGTCCTTGATGCTGTAACGGTTAGAGCTTCAAGGACTGTATATTTAATACAGATAGTGGGACCCGTGCGAAGCGGGGCGAGCAATTATATAGTTGTTTATAAAGTTGAATCTTTAATAGTGTCATTATAGTGTAAGTGTAAGAAGAATTAAAACTGTTTTACTTTGTTGAGCAAAGGAATCCGTTTACAGGATCTCTGTTATAAAGTTGTTTATAAATATTGTCTACTCGATAATGGCGTAAGTATTACCTACATTATTTATAATAAAATAAATTCAACATCTTCAATCGCAAAAGGGTCACTAAGATCTCGAAGACGCGTCCTCTGAATTTTTGTTTGGTGGTTATCTTGTGACGCATCTCTTTCAAGAAACTCGAGGATTAGTAACTCATCACACATATTTAATGTTGTAGTAAACAGTATGTGATAAAAACTTAAAACAATTCAGTAAAAGCTACTCGACACCGGCGTAAACTGACTGGTTTGTTTGACACAATTTTTGACATTTGAGCAAGCTAAGAAATATCAGTTTGGTGGTCATAATACGGGTTTGCCAGCCAATATACGTGCAGAAATCGGTCAAGTGTCACGTGACTGCTAACTGACTGGCAATAAGACGTCATAATACAGATAAACAAGGCAGTTCATTTTAAGGTGTAAATTGACTGGAATTAAGAGATCGTAATACGCCCCCTGTGGGCGTATTACAACCTTTTTAAAATCCAGTTTGTTTCCTGGCAGGTCAGTTTAAGGCCGTAAACTGCATGGTTCTTTTTCGTATTATGACGTACGTTTTTCTGACTGGTTTCATCCTGGATGATTGTCTGTGGTTGGTTTGCACCGTCTTGAAAGATTGCGTTCGAAAACATCTTAAAAGGGTTACTGGTATATTACGGTTTTTGAAAATTGAATGTAATATATTATATAATGTAATTTCCTAACAGAATCGAGATTAAGAATGAGTTCAAAAACGAATTATGTATTATATGCGTAAGTACAATGTCATAAATATGAAAATACAGCACTGTCTCACAACATAAATTTTTGACATACGCTACATTTCTGAACCTAAGTAATGGTAGGTAGGATAGGTGATAACAGCTCACCCGGCAAAAATAAAAGTTTTTGTTATAATAAGGGTTTTTTAACTAATGAAGTCCATTTATTTTACATACTTTGCTTGAATATGAGGTGAATTCAATAATTTCGTAATCTGCTTTATCACCACGGACACTGTAGGCTGCGCTACAGAGTGTGCAGATATATCACCAACAGGGCGTTGATACGACCCCGTAGCATAAAATGATAATGCAATTAACACCTGAAAGAATAATTAATTTGTAAGTTTATTGATTTCATTAACAGTACACATACCCAAGATACAGAATCTAAGACTAAGTAATGGCTAAATCTATTATAATTTGAACAAACTCTAAAATTACCAACCTTCCTTTCAATTGGTAAATCCGACGAACTTGTAGACCCAGTAGCTGCATGAGGTCGCAGTTCATCGCATAAGTTGTGGACTAATTGTTTATTAAGCCTGTATCGCTTAATAAATTCAACATCTCCAATCGCAAAACGGTCACTAAGATCTCGAAGACGCGTCCTCTGAATGTTTGTTTGGTGGTTATCTTGTGACGCATCACTTTCAAGAAACTCGAAGATTATTAACTCATCACACATATTTAATGTTGTAGTAAACATTATGTGATAAAAACTTAAAACAATTCAGTAAAAGCTACTCGACACCGGCGTAAACTGACTGGTTTGTTTGACACAATTTTTGACATTTGAGCAAGCTAAGAAATTTCAGTTTGGCGGTCATAATACGGGTTTGCAAGCCAATATACGTGCAGAAATCGGTCAAGTGTCACGTGACTGCTAACTGACTGGCAATAAGACGTCATAATACAGATAAACAAGGCAGTTCATTTTAAGGTGTAAATTGACTGGAATTAAGAGATCGTAATACGCCCCCTGGTCCTACGCGACCGATGATAACCTCGACGCGTTTACCATCAGAGATGAAGACTGAATATTTGACCGAAAAGAAGTAATCGGTGATCACATTTAATGCATGAGTTGTAAAATGAATAAAATGAAAGATAACTAAAATATCGATGGCATTAAAACAATAGATTACTCGATACCACTCGAACACTAATTGTTTGATATGACAACAGTTACTTGAATTTCGCATTGAATTAAACATGTTGATTCAACCTTCTTTGTACTTTCATATTGTTCCCCATAAATCTTTCTGAGTTCCTTCTAAACTTGGTTATCGTTGCATTGTTACTTAATTATAATAATAATAATTAATATGTTTATATTTAATTAGATAGGCTTTAGTCATAGGCCTTAGTCGTTAGACGATTATGACAGCATGTTATTTGTTGCTTTTGTCTACGCTTATTTATGCTGTGATCAAAATATATGTTTGACGTCCTACTGACAGCAGTCAAAATGATTATCAGCTGAGTTTTATAACCTCTTTCTCGAACTTCTTAGAGAAATATTTTTATTCCACAAAATGTTTTGAATTAAAAACGCTTGCAATCAAACTTTAAAGTGTTTTATAAGCGAAATTTTTGGAAGTATTCGTACACTAAAACAATGTCACTTGCAAGAATTTTCTTCTCCAGGCGGCTATTTACAGCTGAAAACTTCTACATACTCCGTAAGTTTAGTTCGCAAAATGCTTTGAATTTATCAGAACCGGCCGTTCAGGTGTACTTGAAGCAATTGATGCTCGAACATGAACACTTGTGCCTTAATATGAAAAGGACTGCTGAAGAAAACAGGCGTTTATTTCAAATAAAACCAATCGTAAATGTACTGGAACAGCGAGTTACGTTATACGACAACATTGAGACGCTTAAAGAACTCAATAAGAAACCACATCATGATGACGAAATGAAAAAGATGATAAAAGAAGAAGCTGAAATATACTTGAAGCGTATTACGGAAGTAGACGAGGAGTTACAGTCAGCTCTGCTCGAGCCCCAGCTCACAGATGGCGGCGTGCTGCTAGAGGTCACGGCTGGCGCTGGTGGGCAGGAAGCCATGCTGTTCGCGCGCGAATTGTTCGATATGTACGAATTATATGCCAAGCACAAAAACTGGCAAGTTTGTCTTGTTTCTCTTGAGAAGTCAGATATTGGTGGCATTAGAAAGGCTTCAATGTTTATTGATGGTGTAGGAGTGCCAGAACTAATGAAGATGGAGGCCGGTGTGCACCGTGTACAGAGAATTCCTGCTACTGAGAAGGGTGGACGCATACACACAAGTACAGTATCCGTGGCTGTTTTGCCTAAACCTACTGATATTGAGGCGAACATCTCTGACCGTGACCTTGTCATTGAAACTAAAAGGGCAAGTGGTGCTGGGGGTCAGCATGTGAACACTACAGACAGTGCTGTCCGCATCACTCACACTCCAACTGGAACAGTGGTTGAATGTCAAGAAGGTAGATCACAAATAAAGAATAAAGAGATTGCCATACAAAAGTTGAGGACCCTTTTATTGGAGAAACAACAACAAGAACAACAATCTAAAATCAACAGTGAAAGGAAATCACAGGTTTGTGTGTTTATTAATTTATCTAATTTTTATTAAATAAGCAAATTATGGTGTACTATGTAGTTAAATAATAAATAAGTAACACAATATGAAGTTAAATAATTCAATATAAAAATTGCTTGTAATTGCTTGCAGGTTGGATCGAGTAATAGGAATGAGAAAATTAGAACATACAATTATCCCCAAGATAGAGTTACAGAGCACCGGGAGGGAGGTGGCACCTTTCACAATCTAAAGGGATTCATGGAAGGTGATGGGCAACTGGAAGAGTTACAGCATAGCCTCCTCCGAGCCCATAAACATCAGACACTCTTAGAAGAAATCAAAAAATTTGCCAAGTACACAAATATGAAAACAGTTGATAATAACTAACCAAATCAAGTAAGATACAGCTATGTATTAATATTTATTATTATAGTAAAGTGTAAATTTTGTCAAATATTCAAGATTAAATTGTTGTAAAAATGGGTTCGACATTATGATTTATTGCAGTTTATCCTGTATTTAGAAAGTATGGTACTGTATGGATTTGCTGTTGCTTATTTTCATAATCATCATCAAATCAATGATGGTAAGCAATCTGATACATCAACAAGGGGTAACAAGTGTGTTGCCCACCTTCAGGGGCTTTAGGAATTAGGGCAGAAGGAATAGGAATCTGGTAACCTCAATTATACACCAACACCATAATGTGAGTTGTGATATCACTTCATTTGAGCTAACCCATTCATAAAGAAGCATGGAACTTATTCAGGTTATGTAGAAATTGAAAATTGCATTGAATTATTTCAATATTTATTTATTTTGTACAATGAAACAATCACATTTCAGTAATTAATTAAAGAGTTCACGTCTAAGACAAATACATAAATGACAGAGATTCGAAATACTAAAATCTAATAATAATATAATTACAAGTATACAACCACTCTGTGGTGTTATACTGCATCAATATAAGTAATAGAAGAATACAATAAAATTGAAGTTTGAACTGTTCTCCTTAATTGCTTGGTATTATGGATGCTACGAAATACTTCCATCCCTTTTCATAATTCATTAGCAGGACGGAGAGAAGATAATATTAAAAGTAATATACAACACAGAAAAACTGACAAAGTATTATCTAGAAAATCATGCAAAAAGCCATTTCTTTTACAAAAGCTATATTATTATCTTAATAATATTTTTTTATTATTTTACTATTTAATTTAACTAACACCCCACATGGTGTTTGTGGATCATCCAATTTGTTGATATGAATATTTTTATTGTTGCTTCCTATTGTGGCACAATGGGAGCATATTCTATCATTTAAAATTTGATATGTGGGAATGACATGTACTTTATTGAATTACCTACCTATTCTAAAAGCAGAGATCAATGTAATTCACAATTAAATAACACAATAAAAACTATGTTTTTAAAAGTTTTAAATATGTTTGACAAGTCTTTAAATTTTTCTATGAACAAACATAATTATGCTTTGATAAACTATGACATTTGATAACAAAACGTTAAAGTATTTCATATTATAATTATCTATTTTATTTAATTTGAAATTTTTAAAGGTAAGTTACATAGAACACAGGTATTAATTATATTTTCTATTATAGACAACTTTGACAAACGGAGAAGGTGCAAGTAATTAAGTATTATTTTCTACTTAACTCCCATTTGTCAAAGATATCGTTAGCCTTGCAGGCATATAAAGGTGTGTTCACATTAACAGTTAGCTGATGGCACTGCACTACCTTGTATCTAGACATTCTATTGCTAGCTTTTAATGTGATCACACCATTAGTGTGACTCGTTTTTCGCAATTACCTAACATGAAATGTATGTGGGTATTTTTACGTCACTTGTAAGGGCATTTTCATAATTTACGCCAGATATCGAAGTATCAAAAATAGACTCAGTGTAACCCATGTCTTGCTGTTGCCCGGTAAACTGCCGCGTCCACACATGTCGATGTTGCTTTCCTGTAAATATATTTATTGTTATTTGTCACTGAACACATAGGTACATGAAATCCTTTCCCGAGTGTCGTCATTGTGAGGACCACCTAGAGGATACGGTGGAGCATACGGTAGCGGTATGCCCTGCCTGGGCTGAGCACCGCCGTATCCTCAGGGAAGTGATCGGCGGCGGCGACCTCTCGCGCCCGGCCTTAGTCGAGGCCATGGTGCGGAGTGAGAGGAACTGGGACGCCGTCTCCTCCTTTTGTGAAGCAGTCATGCTCGCAAAGAGAGAGGCGGCCCGCGTGAGGGAGCAATCCTCCTCCTCGCGCCCCAGCAGCCGCAACTGGCGACACTACGGGCGTCGGGGATCGAGGGACGATCTCCGGCCACCGTAAGCACGGGCCTGCGGTCGGCGAGTAAGGGGAGCTCGCCGCCCGACCAGAACCAGGCCCGAGCGTACGGCGCGTAGCGTTCCGCGCGCGCCTCAAAGAGCCATTCGACCACCACAGACGGGGCCCTAAAGGGCTGATGTTCAGCCGGGGTTGCGGGGTAAGCGCAATGAGGTACCGCGACCTCGGCACAGAGCAGGAGAAGGAACAGGGGGGTTTTTAGTCAGTAAGAGTCTGACACTCCCTCCTGCCCGGCCCTGGGCGGGAGAAGTCATTTGATGATTTTACCCTCACAAAAAAAAAAACATGAAATCCTTTGATATTAACAGCTGTTGTTCCCAATTAGATTGGACTTTTTTCATCCTAAAATTAGATTTATTGGTGGGTTCATCAACGTCCCTAAATAAGTTAAACAAAATCATCTTCATTCTCTACTTCTTTTCGTTTCTTTTTCATGTGTTGTGGCTGCGTTCACAAACATACAATTTCACATACATTCTATACCCAGACCGGTAACAAAATTTTTTGATAAAACGAACGAGTTGTTCTGTGCGGGAATCGAACCTGCGACTCGTTGCGCGGCAACCAGTTGCCCAGCCACCGCAACAGCCGTGCAGTCTTTCATATTTTCTTACTTTGCTTATTCCAAGTTAGCAGCTTTGAAGAGGAAGCGCACAGTACTAACCTACTGACTTCATTAATTATATAAGTTTTTGTATCAAGTATTGGTCTACCATGTATATTATTGCAGTAACATACCTCACTATGATTCCGGATACACGAAGTAGGTTGCTTTCTGTACAAAGGATGCATATGCTTCAAGCAGGGCAGCGACTCGTTGTAGTTCACCTCAGTCGCGTCTACTGACATGGCGGCCACTTCTTCTTTGGGACAGTTGGCGTCTACAACTATCATTAGCATATTCGTGTAGTTCACATGCTGTGCGTAGAAGGGCCGGCTGCATTCCGTCATAGGTTTATTCAGCTTCGCGTCAAGGTTGCTGTAGTCCGTCAGCTGGTACAGATACATCTCCCTGTCACAAGGAGTTGGCCTGGTCCGGTTTATTAACACCAGCTTCTCGTAATCCCTCTCCAACACTCGCATGTTTGGAGGTTTCGACATACTTGGGTCGTCTGTCTCTTCATCGTTCTCGTAACTCTGGTATGCTAAAGGAACAGATAATATCTATCAATTTTCTGCCAAAGATTTTGTATTCCATGCACGAGCAAAAATTGATAGGATGTTAATTATCGCAATAAAAATGAAACATGCAGTAGAATAAAATATTTTAGAGATCTGTACAATTTTAGTTAGGTAGGTATACGTAATTAAAACGTTACATTGATAAAGAGATAATTGAAAAAAGAATAAAAATGTTTATGGTAAATATACATTTTACCTGTTTTGAGATTAAAAAAAAGAACATAACACATACGATAACAATAAGTAGAATATTGAAATATATACTTAGTCATGAAATTTTTAGTCTTTTAACTTGAAAATTACAATACAATTGCCAGAAGTCATGCAAATCCTTAAGAAAACATTTTATATTGCATCCTGTATTTAATCAACGGGATGACAGATCCACTCCACTATATGTACCTATACCTTGCACAATCACTTTTCCCATTGGAAGGGTTCTTTGACTATTTCAATTTATTAAAATACTTAATCATTCTTAAGATCTACGAACATGCACATTCACCTCGTTGGGCAAGCCTACTCTCGTAAAATAGCATGTTGAAGCGTCTACAAAATAATATATTTGAACGTTAACAGATAACATATATTTTTATAAAAGTCGAGAATAAGCTTGCGTTCTATAAAATCCACAACTAAATCTATTCGATCAAACATAACCATAATGTATAAAAATATTGTATCTATGTATTGTCGACGTGCGTGTGTGCTCGCTCTACAAGTAACTCACCAGTGGGTGTAACATTCTCTGAAAAAAGATGGAGTCATTACTACTTTAGTAGAAATATCTAAGTCCAATTGTTGACTCCATTATTGAATTTTGCTCTCGCTACAAGTATTGTGATAACCAGCTAGGAACAGTAATGTTGGGTGCAATTCAAACGTGGTGCACGCTCATGCACCCAAATAACTTTCGTGTATTCAAAGTGACGAAAAGTTTTTAATTTTTAAAACGTATGACTAGTATTACGTGTCTGTTCAATCTAGGGAAGACAAAACCTAAATAGTTTTCAACATTATTAAATTTTCATTTAGTGTAGTCAAGTTGTATCATGCACAGAAACATTTATAAGCACAATTTAGTCTTCCGCGCAAACTAAAAATTTTAATTTACGTCCATTAAAAACGTATCGGTTCTACACAGTTTTATTCGGCTATGAGTGCTCGTTGTCATGCAGATTCACAGTACATGCTGACAACGCTCAAGAGCAACATCGAATGCGCATAATAATCCACAACATTTAGCCTCTCGCGCCAACCGACACCTTTATTCTTATATGGAATTATTCTGGAACTATCCTAGCACATGTATCAACATAACAAACACCAAATGGCTAAAGCTTGGAGTTCACGTACCGTCGTCCAAGGAGTAGCTGGATGCTTGTGCCAAACCTGTCGTAATGCAGTTGTAGAACCAGACTGTGGTGGCTATAAACCAAGCCATCACGAGCCTCAAGTTTTCGAGTGGCTGTAAATTATGTAAGAAGATAAATTTTAATGCGCTTTAAATATGTTTACCTCGAAATCTCATCTCTTTACGATAAAGGCTATACTGTAGTACAGCCTTTATCGTATCGTATAGATATACAATCGAATCTATTGGATATATTATAATTAAAACGTGTATTACCGTAAAGAGCATTGTAGCTGGGTTCGTAGTTTTCTTTTCTCTGAAGCAAACTGCTTGATAGTCTACGATGTGTACTGCCTTATACACCTCATCTTCCACCAATCTTGCCATAATATCTGGTCGGATCTGTAAATAATAAAATATTTTTTATTATCTTCTATGCGTCATCAGTTGGTTAAGTCCTGGTTACGGAGAAATAGTCTTACCCTTCCAAAGAATTGTCCAGTCTGCGTCGAGTCTTCGCTGACTATTATCCAGCCATTGTTGTCCACCAAGTAACAGTCCCAGCTATCAGATTGACAGGTTGTGCATTCCTTGTTGTGTTCACACTGGAATAAATGAGTCCAGATGCTTTTAATCCTCTTTTGGTCCAGTCAAAACTTAAGGACTCAAAAAATAAACTTACCGAAGAAGTAATATTATCAAACCATTCGCTGAGTCGTTCGTGTTTGAATTGGAAGCCAACAACTGCAGCTGGAGCTTTTCTATGGCCGTCTCCATGAAAGACCGCGTGCGAAGCGGTGACCATAGCCAAGCTGACGTTAAGAGGAAACTTGTCAGTGCTCAGATCGACACTGTATACATAACTAAGCGGGTCCACATAGTGCTGTTCCACTGCTCGACGGTACCAAACTTCCTCGATCGCTCGTGGCCACTGTTTTCCAAATTCTGGTCTAGAAATAGAAGGAATAGATTAATAAATCATCTTTAAAAGTAAATGTACCCCTTTGCTTCGGCAAGATCATCTAGAATGATTTTCACACGCAGAAAGGTTGTAGAAAAAGGTTGTAGAAGTGTGTTTAAGTGTGGGAGAGCCATGCTTCGGCACGAATGGGTCGGCTCGACCGGAGTGATACCACGGCCTCACAGAAAACCGGCGTGAAATAACCACAGCGTTGTGTTTCGCCGTGTGAGTGGGGTTACCGGAGGCCCAATCCTTCCCCTCCCCCAATCCCTCCTAAATCCCTAAATCTCCAAATCCCTAATCCCTAAAAGGTCGGCAACGCACTCGTAACTCCTCCGTTGCGAGTGTCCATGGGTGGCGCTGATTGCTTACCATCAGGTAATCCGTCTGCTCGTTTGCCGACCTATTAAATAAAAAAAAAAAGAAAATATATGTTCATTTCCTAAAATTTTTGAAATAAGACGGTTTTTCGATATCGTGTTAAAAATCAAAATCTTACGAAAGTCCTACTTCGTACAATATACATATCACGTGCATTTCTGATAAATGGTTTGTTTAATACAATGTCTTACTTGTCATTATCATGCTCCTTTGGGGGATGAGTCTGCCATCGTGTGAGACCACTATGTGTCGATAGGAAAGCCACTATGTATCCAAAGCGTTGAATGAACTCGACCCTGTTACAAACATTATATTTGCTGTTTATTTTGCCTAAATTTATATTTAGAAATCTTAAAACTACTTGATTATTGAGTGGTCTTTTTGTATGTTAAATCGATATATTTGGTTTGACTCGGGAGATTTCTCGCGTATAAATTGTTACTGTTTTTTGTTAGTAATTTGATATGTAATTGGGTACCTACTTATGAAAGTATATACCTAAGTAGGTTGACTGATTGATTGTTTTCTTTTCTTTTCTAATCTTAGATTTTGTTTATTTATAGTTATGATAGTTGTTTTTATTTTTCAACGCAAAAAAATATTCAAGAAAATTACCATCCTTAATAGATTTTACGATTATAGTAATTTTGTTTTCCTAAAAACCTATTTTACATCACGAAGGTAAAACCATATTATTTATATAAAATTCATAGAAATCTGTCCATTTTGCCAACAAAATTTCGACTTGTCGTTAAGTGTCTAATTATGTTCTGTAAGCAGGTGTATTTGGTTAAACAGTTCCTACTTTAACTTCTTAACGTTGCTCTTATTATCTATTTCAAAAATATACAAACCCATCCAAGCTGCGCTTTAAGAAAGAAATATACACAATAAAACAATTCTTTAGGATCCACATTAGTTGAAACGTTCTTAAGTCTTTCTGATTGTTAATGTCCTCGTAGATAAATCCATTGTTCATCTTGAACTGTCTATCCCTTAACCAAAATAACAAGTCATGCAATACACTGTTCCACGTCATAAATTTACTTTACCTCGGCAACAATCCGATCACTTTTGTCAATGGGCTATCCGGGTGAAAGTAGTAAAAATGCATTCGATATAAATTATAATGTGCTTCAAATTAAATTGCAATTCATACTTTACCGAATTAACTATAACTCGGTTAAAAAGAAAATCATCACTTCAAGTGAATGATGAAGGAAAAGTATTAGGAAGTATAAAAGTGTAGAAAATAGAACTTACGCCTTTTCGTCTGACGCGGACTCGGAAATACTCTTGTTGAACCAGGCTGTGTTTCGGGCGTCATACACCAAAGCTTGCATTAAGCCATGATCGCCTGATGATATAAAAGGGAATATAATACAATACCATAAAAAATAATTGGGTAACTTTTTTGCTCAACAAATTGAATGTGTTCACAACATTGTGTTTATGAATGAATGAAATAAACTAATTATTATTTGTACCGTACAGTTCCAAATCACATTTTACAATATTGGTTGGTTACTAGAATAATTTCCCTAGGAAGCCCATAAATATTTGATGACAAATTAGTACAATTTTGATTTGATAATAAAAAAAATCACCACTCACAATAATATTCGTTTCTAGGAGTGCTATTCGATACTTTGTTCCTCTCCCTCGCCTCTGGTGTTCCTGGAAAATAAAATCTGTACTGAGAAAATTGTTTGCATATGATTACATGTGCCTTAAAATTTTGTTACATTAGATACTTGATATTGTTTTAAAAGTTATAACGACCACTATAAGTTGTGAACCAACTTAGCCTGTATTCTACGTGAAGAAAAGTAGCATTTCGCACAGTTTTTTTTATATAATAGAAATTTTCGATCGTTGAAAAATCTGCTATCAATCAATCAATATTTTCTATCTAGATTTAAGGCCAAAAGATCTTACAGGTACAATTAAATGGAATATTAAATTACCATTGTTATGCCTCTCATGTCCAGGTTTATTCTTATGGTGTTCTGGGGGCCGAGGCTTGGCTGGCCACCGCCACCCTGGCTTGGCTACTCGTTCCAAGAAGTAAAGTAATTCTTCTTCAGCATTCGCAAACGTGCGCTCGTAATGTCGACAATATAACCTGAAAGTATAAGTGATCATCAATCGCGGTTACAGGATTCTTACCAGATGAAAAATGGCTATCGCTTCGAAACGCTGCCATTCTTAATTGTGTCATTCGAGCAATATTTTATTGCCATTGTAACTGCTTGACCATATCGACCATTACGGCCATATTAAGTGTTCGAACGAATGTTAGAGAAAACAAAAGCTTACTGTAATAGAAACGGCTTTTAATTGGGTAGTTTCCTAGGTCAAAAATCGATTAATTCGACGTTTCAATACAATAAAATATTGAAAAATGTCTTAAGGCATTAAGTTCGCTACTCAGACTGTTTTGTGTGAAGAAGAAAAATAAAACTATACTTTCATTCATCGATCGATCGATACACTAAGCTTTAGATATTTTGTAGCTAATAATTAAGAAATAAGTAAGCTATTTTACGCCAAAATTCGATGACGTCACTACTCAGTATCGTTTTTGACATTTGGATAAAAGTATTGAATTTGACTAGTTGGAAACTACTGTATTCTCAAATCATCTCTTACCAGTCAGGATGGACGCTCCACTTGTCTGACAGATATTGCCTCGCCGAAATGTTCTTGGAGGTCAATGAGAGTCTGTGTATGTCATCAGTGGGTGGCGGTGTGATACGATGCCGTCCATAATTCTCCGGAATGGCCACGACTAACGTGAACGGTGAATCACTGATACCAGTCCAGAAGTAATGCCTTTTTGCTCGTGATACTCTTTTCTGTAAAAATACAGTATTTAAAATCAGAGTGTGTTTCGTCAATCGAGTGGTCGGATGAAATTGAGATTTCTCAGACATTAATGGAAAATTTAAAGTCCATCTTCATGAGTATTTGCATATAGAGAACAACACTAGGTTCTTTATTTGAGGTAAATGGTTACGAGTAGGCATTCTTTCATATGTTTACTTTCTTGTAATATTCTAAAAATCTTGTATTTATTTTTCTTTCTCAACTCACCATATCGTCGAGATGGTACTTGACGCTCATCACCTTGTTGCCAGTCTTCTGGTCTATTATTTCTTTACGTAACTGTAACATTGATTCAAATTAGATTTATCATTGCTTATGCCTGGGTGTTCTTATGCATACTAGCACTTGAAGGAAGCCACTATAGATTTAAAACTTACGGCAGTGAGTTCCTTGCTAAAGTTCCTGGGCCCACGGTCGTCATCGAACAATTCAACTTCTATCATGTCGACGCTATTGTAGCTAGGCTTCAAAATTTGTTGGAACTGGAAACAGATATTTTAATTTAATTCATTTGATATGTAACCAATAAGAATCGAACATGAGGTCTCTGAATCTCGAATGATTATTCGAGGCACAGTTAACAGAGATATATCTGTTATGCTATGTAGGTACTTACAACGGGCCTCAGGTCAGGATGTATCAATATGTATCCGTTGTTAGTCACTATGAAAGCATAACCGTTGACACCGATCTGAAATACGAATTATTTTGAGTATTAGTTTGAATTACACGATTAAATAATTACTGTGTAGTAAAAGGATCACAAACACTAAGGAAACCTGAACCTAATCATAAGTTTGATATCGCTAATCTGCAAGCGTGGTTGTTAATGCTCAAACCTTCTCCAAGTGAGAAGAGGCTTAAGCATTGGGCAGTTATAGGCTGATGATGATGAAAATGATCACGTACCTTGTATGGTGTCATGAGAGCTTGTATTTCAGAGAGAGGTACGTCAGTGCCAGCTACTCCCAAAAGTCTAGCTATACGCATCTGCAAATATGTAAAATGCATTACATAACACTGACACACACACCAAACAATACAACAATATATAACACACCACACAATACTCATTACTTATAAACCTCTATTGATTCATCATTTAGTCTCAGGCTGTTCTGCAAATCAATATCTCTAAACTCTACGTTACCATTTTATAAATCTACATTCGAAATAGAAAAAATATATCAAAAATATGCTGTAGATATGTTATTTTTGTAAGTAAACAGTCAAAAATTATACTAACTACAAGGTATTCCGCATCTGGCGACGTATTGGCCATCACTCTACTGTTATTATACAACATTATGACAATATTGTAAAACTAGCAATAAATTACTGATTCTTTAGCATCTAAGCCCCGTTAGGCGAAGTTCTATATGTTTATTTATATAGAACTATGTTAAGGGATTCTAATTTTATATCCACGGTTACAGGTTCTAGCAATACTACTCAAATATTAAATAATTTTATCTTATAAATTAAAATACTACTCTTTAGATTCTAAAAAACCCACTACCGTTATTTTGATTGTAAAAATACAAATACCCTTTCGAATGTATCCATGTAAAAATCTGTCGAAATTTTAAATTAATCAAATAGGCAAAGTCGTGACTTATGTTAACTGCAGATTGATCCCTTAGACAAACAGATAGGCACTGTGCACAAACATTGAAAGCAGCTTCACCAGCCAGGCACCGCGCTCATCCCTCGCCTGGCACGCATCGTCTGTCGCGTCTCACGGAGGCAGTATGGTCTATGAGCGTTGGCCTACCTCTTTCTGGCCGTTCTCCTCTACGGACTGCGATTGGTTGTGGACGTACGAATGCAATAAAATATAATAACATATAGATAAATGCGTTGTAACAACTTCCGCTAGAAATTAAAATGGCTCCTCTCCGGAGATAAAGACTAAATATTGCTAAAATTGTTAATATCAAAAATTGCCATTCTTAAGAAGAGAATATTGTAAAGTTAATAGATACTCAAGTAACAAAGGCCCCATACTCGTCATGTGTACGCCGGGCTGCACGATACTTTATCCAAAAATATTTACATTTACTTGTCGTCATACAAGTCAATCTTTAAAAGTTGTCTCTACGAAGACATCACTATATTCAGGCAAAAATACTTTATTTCATTAGATAGTGTGTGTAGTGTATATAGATCATAACTCTTGCATAGAAAATTAACTTGATGATTGATAGAAAAGTCGTTCATAACACCCTAGTGGTCTACGCCTACGATCTAGTAGAAACTACATCACTACAGTAAGCCAAAGGGTCGGACAACACATTGGTCAGGCGGTGCGGCGGCTGCGCACGCGCCGCCCTCCGCGCACACATCTATCGAGGACAGATGCATCGCTAACGGGGCCAAATAACACTGTACCGTTACTGAAATCCAAAAAACTAAATCATAAAAACTCTCTTGTATCTTGCAAAAACTTTACAATTAAATCATCAAAACTTTCTAAGTGTAGTACCTCTTTCGTAACCGAAACCCAGTAAGCTTCATTTATCAGTACATTCTCTGTGATGTTCTGAGGGGAAACCATCAAACAAAACGGAGTTATTAATAGACATTGACATGTAACAGAAGATAGACAATAGAGTAAAGAGAAAGTAATTAGAAGAGATAGAGCTTACGTCCAATTAGTAGAAAATACAAAACCAATCTGTAAACATAATCTTTTGAAACAGATCACAGGTTCATTTGGTTCATGCTACATGGAAAATTTTGAATTTAGAAAAGACGTAATATTCAGCTAAATAATACAGATAAGAGAATAATTTGACTAGAAGAGAGAAAGATACTGACACTGAGATAGATTAAAAACCGCAAATTAACAAAGTAATGCAAATCATTCTCTTTCCCGAATATTTAAACAATTCTGACACATTTGGGGACTCAAAATAAGGGTTTAAGTATGGGTGCACGCACGACATCTCACCTCATTGTGCCGCAGGTCGTACACCGGCATAGATACTGACGTCATTAACTGATACTGAGAATTTCCAAGTTCACTGTACTGGCCTTGTTTCATCTGCAACATAAATAATTCAAATACACCCGCGAAAGCTTTCAGGGTAATTCGTCCCACGTCATTCAAATGCCCAAATAGGTAAATGTCGCCTATTATTAGTCTGTCACAAAATGATAAGGATTTATTTACCTGAGTTATTCTCCAACGTCTGTCCTGTTCTTTATCTGAATTGAAGAGATTTTTATCACGTCGCTGGCTCATGAAGCGCTCTTTTTGTTCGGCTCGCTCGCGTTGCTCCCACAGATAATCGGCCACTTTTGGATCCTAATAATGGCACATTTTTATAAAATAAATCCCAGTGTTGAGTCGTATGGCTAAACCTGAGAGTAGTACTTACAGTGACATTAGCGTAAACAGGAGTCCAGACGACAGGGTGTTTCTCTCTTTGCAGCACTAGGGGGCGCGCGAGCACGTTCACATGTTCGAGCACGCGCTCGCGCACCTCTGCCAGAGTGCTCAGATGCACGTAGAACCCTCGGTTGGCACACGCCATCCACTTCACCTCCCTCACATCTGCCACCTACACATTCTTAACGTGTTATAACCCATTCTTCCTACCTCGGATCTCTAACGACGGCCTGTGTAAGTGCTGCATTCATCTGACCTAGCTAAGTGTCCTCTGCAGCATGTGGTAAGGCTTTCACAACATTTATTAGTACAATTTCTACAACAAAAATAGTTGTAAAAGGTAAAATGGAAAACCTACTGAAATAAATGTTACTTATTAAAATTTGGAACTTCAAACATGTAAATAGGTATAATTATAATAAGTAGGTATGCAATAAGAAGATATGAAAAAATTGCATAACACAACTACTACTACATAAAACTATACTCATACAATTAAACGCATGTCCCTCTAGATACATAAAAATGTCTCATTCATAGCTCTCATTTAGCAAAAACAACGATCGAGACGCTTTTGATTTACTTATGTTTACACACACTGCAAAACATAATTAGTTACTAACTGAAACTTTTTATTGATATCGAAATCAACATATTATTGTAACGTGTGTTATAATTAATTTTGTAGTTAATGTGAACACAAAAACCCATCGCATCTCTTTCGTTTTTTTTTGCTAAATGATCAACGGTTTGTCCAAATCGTATAAGATGATTCACACCTGCTGCAAACATTACACATATTAATAAATCTTAACAACCATAATCATTTTCAAAGTTTTAATATATCTTTAAGAAAAAGGGTCTTTCCTTAGTGCACATTTTAAAACGGCAACAGATGTAAATCTTAGAAATAGGCAGGTCCAAAATTATGCTTACAACATTCATTTAAATGACGTTGCTTTTTGAGTACCGTATTATACTACGTTAGAGTTTAAACCTCGTCGTAAAAGTTTGGACCTACCAAAAACATAGAAAACAAACAAAACCACTACAAGCCGAAGCACACTGAGATTGGAAAATATACAAAATTACAAAAACATCACCATGCAATGTACAGGTCCAATGTACAATAGACAGACAACAGGGTACCACATTCTAGGCGTACTGGCATTTTGGTACGAAGGAAGGCATTATGCAGGTCGCACAATGACTACGACACACAGTAAGACTTGAAGTGGTACTACCTTTACCTCACGCCCTATCAGGTACGTAAACACTCTCACTGGGGTATCATATTTCCAATTGTACTTCTCGAATATTTCTTTGTAATTATAAGGCACGCCGTCTGTAACCAGCATTATGGCCTGCAACAAGATTTTTTTTTAATATTTACCTTTTGTAGCCACTTTTTGTAGGTACTCGTCTTTTAGTCTAATATTCCTCTGTCTACTGTTTTACACTACTGTACTTATTGTTGTATATTTTTAATACGTGAAGCAATAACCTACCTGATTGCAGTTAGCTCCGCCGCTGTTATTCCTGTATATTTCCAATAGCTCAAAGGCTCTCGTCAATGCCGCTGAAAAGTTTGCTATCTCCTGTGTTTCGAAATTGTCCATTGCCAATTTCAGTTCCCGAAGATTTCCCAGGGTAGCCTGACAATGACCGAAATTAAAAAAAGTACATTATTATAATACTCTAAGTACTTACATATGTTTACCTATGGATATTGTCTTTGTTATCTATCGAGATAATGGTTGTTTACTGCAACATACGAAAATAACTACCGGTTTCCTTATCTACACTATTTGAAAGTATTGCTTTCTGTTTTCATTGTATTTTTTAAGTAGAAACTAACTCACTTGTACAAGAGAATCCTCAAAACATGGTACGATTTCCTCCACGGTGTCTGCGAATGTCATTACATTGACGAAATCATTGTTGCCGAGTGTGTCAAGTATGTTGGTAACAACGTGTTTGGCGATATCCCGTCGCTGACCGGTCATTGACCCGCTCCGGTCGACTAAAATGATCACATCCTTTGGACTCGCAGCCGCTTCCATGTACCACGCTCGGGTCCGACAATCATAAATGTCCACGGGATCAGCCCTCCATTTCAAAGCTAAAATATCGTTTCAGTTAGAAAATCGTCTGTGAAATAGATAAGAATCCAAAAATTGATAAGATTTTCTTTACCAGGATAATGTCTCATGAATCCAGTAGAACTGCCAAAATATTGCCACGAAAGCGTAGGATCACTTTGGTAGTTGTTTATGAAGTGTGTGTCCAGACCTTCTGACCAATGGATTCCTTTGATAACCTCAGGTGCTGTAATACATTAACAGTGTTAATCCGTTTACAAAATATTTATGATTACACGAGTACACGGTCCATGGTTTACTCACCCCAAGCATAAACATTTGTTGGAACGTGCACACTGCTAAAATTAGTGTTTACTGGAATGTTGGAAAAGTGTGGGTTTTGCTGTGTGTGCGCACTCTTTGTTGGTGGTCGTACTATCCAACTTTCCTGGCCAAAATCTGTTTCTGGTGTAGTGGTGATTGACACCTCATCCCAAGGCTCTTCCATCTCCTTACTATTGTAGAACTGAAAGTCCTCGGGTACCGGTTCGTTTTGTTTATCAAAAGCCATATTTTCTGCAGCCTCTACTATCCTCTTGACAGCGCTAATTTTCAGTTCCATCATGGCGCGAATATCGTCTGACATACTTTGGACTAATTTTTCTCCATCTCTCGATTCGACTTGAGCTGATTTAAAACTCTGAGTGACATAATTAATTAACATTAATATTTATATTAGCAAGCACAATAATGAATAACTCATACAACAATCTGTACATACGTCCTGAACTTCTTTCTTCCTAGTGATGAACTCCCCGAAGTGATATAACTCGGTACCAAGTTTAACCGCCCATGCTTGTACCCTAAACAGTAAATATATTGATGTTACAGTAACACAAATCTATAAATCATAGTCGGCCCGGGAACATTTGTTCAGCATTTCCGAGTTACTCGGTCTTTATGGTTTTTTTACGATGTTAGCATATAGATAATAATAGATTCTCTGTCTAAAAAAAGTTTAATTTTATTTTTATTTATTGAAAAATCTTTTTAGTTTTGCTAGTTGGCTACAGTTTTGTTATCGACGAGTATTATACCTACTACGAGTATTATAATTATATAAATTTGAAGGGACTCCATTTACGTTGGGTAGAAGTAAAATAATTCAATTTGCTAATGAGTTTTATGAAATGTATCTTACGAGTTAAGCGATATTTTGCCAGCGGCATCATATTGTGCACTAGCCGAGCAGTCCCTGGAGTCCAGGAACAAAACCAGAAGTAACACGAAGGCACCGACACACTTGCACATCAGAACCACTGCGTCGTATTTGTTTCACTGACTAGAATAATACGAGGACATGTTACGCACTTAATCTAATTATGACATTGACGATGTTTAGGGAATCCGATGTGTTAAACGGCCGGGCTGTGTAAGGTACTGGGCAACGAACATTGATAAGGTTGATAGGTGTGTGTCGCAGTGCGCAGGCGTGAGTGTGCGCGGGGCGGGCATGCGCTCTGGTTCCCCTGCGCGGCTCGACTGGCGACCTCCGAGCTGTTTGTGTATCGCCGAGTATCACGGCCCACGGCCTCACGGAGAACACCGCGCTAACGTAACCTGTGGATTCTGTCGTTGTCGGCACCTGACGCATCGATTGCCCGCCCCCATCACTAGGTCAGCGTGTCGGTGGGACGCGGACATGTTTTCAGCTTCCGTTGGTTCCCGGCGTTCATTGTAATAGTAACCACGTTTTCTGAATTCTGAAAGCGTTAGCTTTTCAGTTTTCGGTATGACTGCATGCACTATGTATTTAACCGATATGGAAGCTAATAACGTAATTCTGATTAAACATTTTTTTTTATATATTTAAATTCTGATAATATACCTATTTTATATTCTTAAGGATAGAAAGAATAAATAAAACATTCGATACTGGTGCAACAAGTTTTATTGGCAAAGTAACAAAGGTACAAATATACGAGGTTCGCCGCGTCACGAGCGGGTTTTGGTCAGCACCGCCATGACCACGGCAAACAAGAGGACGGCCACGTCGACCCGAGCGATACTGCCAATACCACACGCTGTTATATTCCGCTCCTGAAGACAAATGTCACAATAAATTTCAAGCCTATTAGAACTGTAAGTTGGCAAATTAGCCTTGTATTTCTTCTGTTTCTGGATAGGGGTACTAACATACTGCTTCTTAGAGCGGTATCTATATGTATCTGGAGGTTAACATTAGTTATATAATCATTTTCAAATTTAAGGGAGTGACATTAGTCTTGCTAATACACGTGTGAGTATTTTTGATAATAAGATGTTACTGACAAAGATTTGGCGAATGAGTATTATGTGACAAAAATTATGAATAAAAAATTGCCAAAATAGCAATTGTGGTGGTGAATGGTCATTTATCTCCGGATAAGAAGAAGCCTTTGTATAGCAATGAACCAGTTCCAAGTTAATATCGAAGGACATATTTCAATTATCCTCAATTCACAAGTGAAAGTCCACCAAACACACATCATTGATACCTACAACAAAAACTACAATCTTACCCCATCATGATAAGTGTAGCAGCCCTCTAGACGTCGTCTGTGCAAAGCTCCTAGTTTCAGCTTGTGGCACGGCTCCCGGCTGGTGGTGGAGTTGACCGTGGGCTGCGGCTTAGTGTCGGGTGGCTCCGTGCAGTTCGCGGCGAAGTCATCATGCTTCTCAACAACCACGAGGAGCAAATTCGTTTTAGGCACGTAGGCAGCCCAGTAAGCTGGCCAACAGTCCCCTGCTTCATCTTTCTGAACAACAGGCGATGCTCCCGCGGCATCCAAGAAATATTTCTGATTCAGTATAAAAAGTGTGATACTATGGTCGCAGGAGAAAGGGCTCTCTTCTTCCTCGTCTTTCGTGGAGACTGTTTCATTCTCCGGTAATGGTGATGCAGTCGTTGTAGGCGCCTCTGTGTACCCGTGGTTGATTAGATCGATATAGTCTGTGAGTGAGACGACCATGCGGTTACATAAAGCAGAAGAATTAGATGTGCTTATACGAAGCTGCGGCTTACCATGCAGCTAGACAACTAATTGCGCTGTGGAGACATACGCATTATAATATTACAGTTTTTGTTTACTGAAAGCTTAGTCAATTTGGATATTTTACTGTGTCAAGAGTAATTTAGTAAAAGCCGCTATTAGTTTTTCGCCGTTTGCAATAGATTCTTCTATTAATTGCTTCTACCTTGCAGTCGTGTAAAGTTAATTTCGTGTACGAGCTACTATTAAGTACTTAAGCAATTAGTTTGAAGTGCCGTAATTACTTTAATCGATTTAGAAGAACATAGTAAAGCTCAGTAATATAAACATCAAAAGCTAGGGGTTAAGTTTTATTTCTATAGAGTAACTAAACGCTTCAAAGTTTTCTAAAATAACCAATTTATTTTACGGTCAATAAATTTTTCACCTAAGCATTATGAATTTATTGCTATGCCTCCTTTTTGAATCTTATCAAAGTTTTGACCATTTTTGCAAGAGAATGTTGATCTTATTAATATTTAGCATTTGTATTTGAAAAATGAACTAGTTTTAAAGCCTAACAAGTTACTGTTTTTAGGAAAGTTTATACTTTTATGTGTATACGATACAACATTCGTTATTATTAGAATCTCACCTTGGTCATCTACAACTGCGGCGTATGCGTATTCGCTGGGGTTGTAAAGGTTGGAGAGTAGTAGCAGAGCCTCTGTCACAAGCCAGTGGAAGAAGTTGAAGGCTAAACTAAACGGCTACAAAAAGAAAGAAGTTAGTATCGCTTAGCATGTAATTGTAATACAACTGAGAACACAACATATTTTTCTATACTGATTAAAAAAATCCAATTATTTCATCCCTAAAGTGCTTGCAGGATTGAAATAATGTCTCTAAAAAAATTCCTAAAAATTCTGTTTATTTTCTGTTCGAGTAACACATGCTGTCTCACCACAGGGATTATTTAAATCATATCAAAAAAACATTTGTATCAACTGAACCATAGATATATACCTAGGTACTTTTAAACCGTCAAAACAGTATAATAGTTCAGTCAGTCTGTCCGTCAGTGAAGCTAGGTGCTTATTCCAAATTATAGATGTAAATGAAGAAGAACGAGCAAGAAACTCCATAATCTATACTTACAGTACGCAAAGTCCAAGAATTACTTTTCTTGATCAGAGCAGAAAGTGGGCAGAGAGCTTGGTAGTTGAACACCTCGACATGGTCGTAGATGCCTAACTCAAGGAATGACTGTAACACGTGTTTCTGGACTGTCCCAAAGAACTGGCCAATGATCTCCTTCTCCTTAGCCAGCACGATGTACCCAGAACTGTCTATGACGTAACAGTCATATTTTTCGGAATTTGGGTCACATGTTGGGTCCTGGAAAGACACCAACATTTATGGAGAGAACTAAACATGTATATGGATAAATTCCAAAATCGAAATCATACCTTAGAACCGTCTATAGAAATATTGGTTATTTCTAAAAATCTTTCATAAAATTTCAAATAAGAGTATTGGAAGCCAACAACAGATGCTGGTGTCTCTGATGTTTCGTCCTTGTAGAAGATTGCGTAGCTTGCAGTCAAGGTGATGTCTCCATCTTCGTTGATAACTTTCGGTGGGTTCTTGATAATGTCGTCGAGAACTGGGAGAGGTGTGGCCACGACTAACGATTCCTTGTTTATCATGTGTTGCAACACTGCTGCCTTGTACCAAGTCTCCTCTATTGTATTGTGGTATATATCTCCAAAAACACTAAAATGAATTTAGAAATATGTGAGTGGCATAGAATTCGGAAAAAATAATTTATTTAATATTATATTATGCTTAAAACCATTGATAAAACATTACGCCATGCCCTTATTGGAAAAATATAACTCTCATAACACAACAATGTTGGTCCCATTAAGGGACGTCCGTCTACACTAAGGACGGTCAGTCGCTAATGAATCAATGTGAAGTTATAAAACCTTTTTTTATTTCCTTCGGAATTGATAACAATTAACGTTTATCTACTAAACATATTGAATTACAAAATAATCTTACTCTCCATCATATCCCTTCCTTCTGTTGCCGTGATCATCAACCTCCTCATTCTTGTCTGAATCGAAGACGTAATGCCACCTCGTCAACCCACTCGACGTGGCTATGAACCGAACGCTCACATTGTACTTTCGAGCCAGGTCCCATTGCTCGTCAGTTGCTATCCAGTTTTCAAAGTAAGGAGCTGACAATTTAGCATCGAACACCAGCTGCTTCACTAGATCCTCGTTACAATAGTAATCGTCTTTGCCCAAAGGTGTCATGCCGCAGTGTGCTGAGGGAAGCAATTTAAAAAATAGTTTTAATTGTATACCAAATCAATAAGATACTAATGGCAGAAAATACTGTATGTAATAAGTAATCCGATTAACAATTGTGTAAGTATAAAAAATAAATAAATAAATGAGAGCTAAAGTTTTTCAGCTCCCTAGATGGCGCTAATGTAGCTTAAAGTCCTGTTTGCCAAACAGAACATTTACTAACGTCAAACCACCAGACAGACAATTTTTTACTGCTACAGTGTTTGGAGGTCTTACCTCACACAAATTTTACGCAATCTAGTGAACCAAAAAGAATAAACCTCATTGTTTAGTTAGCTTTTTATTTAGGCTGATCTAGTCATTTGGGAGGCGTTTATCCACAAGTAAAGTTACTATATATAAATAACAAGACTCACTTTCTAAGCTAAACGTTTTCGTTTTATTTTCATTTTCTGGATACTGTTGCTTGGTTATATCTATTTCGTTCTTGGATAGACCTACTAAGAACTTCCACGCTTCCTCTTCAGAGTTCGATGACTCGTGACCTTCCAGATAGTGGTACTTGCAATATACCCTGAGGATATTAATATAAAAAGGGATAAACAATGACCAAGTTCTGCATTAACGAATTAAAAAAAAAGCTATGTACATAACAGAAGTAGATTAGCTCTATGTTTGGTAATATGCATGAGTAGACATGTAATAGCATAACAGAAAAATTATCCTATCCTATATTGTGATTAGAAGTCTGTTTCCTTAGGGAAAGACCGAAATGATTGTTAAATCTATGAAAAATATCAATGTTGTGTAAAGTATAAAAAAATACTTCATTACAGTTCCGGAATCTTTCTTTTTTTTTTGAATAGGTTGTTGATAAATAGCTGGTGCCACCTATGGCAACCAGAGAGTTTTACGTGCGCAGCCAACCTTTAGGAAATTAGAAGTTTAAGTTAGAGAGTAGCTCAATTTAATAAGAAACATATAGGGGAGGATTTGTCTTCTAGTACCCGAACTAACACTGCGAAACACAAAGCATTGTTTCACACCAGTTTTCGGTATCAAATCGAACCAGCCATTTGTGTAGAAGCATGATCAAATAATCTAATATGTACACTTACCAATCTGGATGTACTCTAAAACTGTATCTGAAATAATCAGTGACGTTGATACCAGTCAGTTCCTTGCCTTGTTTCGCCTCTAAAGGATTCTCTTTAAGCAATAATTCAGTGTCACCATAACCCTTTGGCAATGATATTCCCATTGAAAATGGTGTCCCTTCCAGTTTGTTGAAAAAGTAATCGTGGCTCACTCGAGCTATTCTCCTGAAAAAGTCAAAGTAATGTATTGTTTACATGAATGTTCAGGTATGTAAACTTATACGTACATAGGTAAGTAAACTACTATAATTAAAATACCGAACAAAAATAATCAAAACTAGGATGATCAATTAAGAAAAGGTTATTGAACTTAATCAAAACTTATTACAACGGTAGTGGTCGCGGTGGCCTGGAGGTTCGAATCCTGGCTACTTGCCAGGTGACTTTCCGAGTTATATGTACTTTCTATGATTATTTAGACATCACTGACATACGGTGAAAGTAAAAATCGTGAGGAAACCTGGACTTATAACTTCTAATTATAATTTTGAAATCAACTAACCAACCCTCATTGAGCAAGCGTGGTGATTAATGCTCAAACATTCTCCGTATGAGAAGAGGCCTTTACTCAGCAGTGGGCACTTATAGGCTGATAATGATTATGATGATGATGAGTGTTCATAGCATAGGTTCTGTGTTGATCGCAAACAAACATTAACTTCTTTAAAGTTAGATAAAACAATCATTTTGTGTAACTTCTACCATAATTCAAGGTATGAACAGATAATGCATATTTTAATATGTATTCTGTTCGTGCATGCATATTTTAATGGTGCGGTGGCTGGGCAACTGACTGCCGTGCAACGTGCTGTGAGTTCGATTCTCCGTGCGGGAACTCGATGTGCGATCAACAAATTGTTGTTCCGGCTCTGGGTGTCATGCGCATGTGAAATTGTATGTTTGTAACTGTTTGTAACTGTATGTGTGTATCGTTTGGATGTTTGTAACAACTCACGACACAGGAGAAAATCCTAGTGTGGGGCATGGTTTTATTGTTTATAAATGTACCTCATGTTGTCATAGTGGTAGAGTACGGGGACCTGTGTCATGTTCCCATCCACACCTTCCACGAGGTAGTTTCGCAAGTTCTTGATCTGATCTCCAAGGTCACGAGTTCCCTTACCATCGTCCACTTGTTCTACCTCCACGAAATCCACACTATTGTAGTTCTTCTGAAGGTCGTTGTTTATCTGGAAATATTATTATGTTAACATTACTTTTGAGAAAAACAAAATATAATTTTTTATTAAGTATTGTTGCAGATCACGGCCGTGGTAACGAGGAAAATGCAGTAAGTTGACGCGACTTCTGCTCGGAAAAGGAGTTCGACTAAGGTGCTTATTAATTAGTCTGACACTCTCTGAAGTAGTGTCAATCCAGGGTGGGAGAAATAATCATGCAATGTAAGTGATTTATCTATACTAATATTATAAAGAGGTAAAATATGTAAGTTTGTAAGTAGGGGGTAGTCTTTGGAACCGCTTCGGATGGCCAAAATTCTTTCACTGATAGATAGCTACAATGTTCCTATAGGCTATAAAACATCACGCTACGATTAAATGGAGCCGAGCATCAGGTGAAACCGCGCGAGAGTAGCTAGTACAATATAAATTTGTAATTCTAAATCTAAACTGTAGTCATGACTAAAATCTAATAATTTCTAATGATCATATTTTAAACTTACAGTAGTTGTCAGCAGTGGATGCAGCAACAGATATCCATTGTTACTGACGATGAATGAGTAGCCGTTCACACCAAGCTGAAAGAATATGGGAGTCAAGGTCAATATTCAAAGTGATAATGAAACCTTGGAGAAATACTAAATAGAAAATTCTGTGCCTTATGACAAAATGGCTTGTTCGACGCTTTTAAAGACCTAACAACTGGCTCCCACTTAAGTTGACTACCTACTATATGGATAGTTTTTTCCACGAATAAAACACTTATCGATAAACAATAATAACAACAACGATTTTTACAATAACTGTCTGATGTTCAATAATAGGCGTCGAACACATAATTCCGTGCATAAGTCTTTTGAATGCAAGCACGTGAAATAGGTTATTATAAAAATCTGTTCTATAAATAAATAACAACGTGACATATGAATACAGCGTTGTTTTTCGCCGTGTAAGTGAAAAAACCAGAAAGGTTTAAACCCATTCGCAATCCTCAAATATCTACCGTTGACCTTAAAGGCCAGCAACACACTAACCCCTCTAGTGTTCCGAGTGTCAATGGGCGGCGCCCATTGCTTACCATCAGGTAACCCGTCTACACGCTTGCTGCTATAAAATACACGTATTAAGTTGATTATTGTGGTAATTTCCTTTTTTATGTGATAGGTAATTTTTTTTTTTTTATATGCCTGACGTGCAGACGGATTACCTGATGGTAAGCAATTAGCCCATGGACACCCGCAACGAAGGAGTTACGAGTGCGTTGCAGATCTTTTAGAGATTAGGGATTTTTAGATTTAATGGGGATTGGGGAAGGGGAAGGATTGGGCCTCCGATAACCTCACTCACACGACGAAACACAATACTGTGGTTGTTTTTCTGTGAGGGCGTGGTATCGCTCCGGTCGAGCCGACCCATTCGTGCCGAAGCATGGCTCTCCCACACTTACCTGATGTGGTTTAGCAAGCTTGGCGATACTGTCAATAGGCACATCGGTCCCAGCGACGCCGAGTAACAGAGCGTCGTTGTTCTCCTCATTATACTTGTAATCGAATGCAGGGATCGCAACTGATGTCACCAGTTTGTCTTCATCAGGCTGAAATAATGACATCCTAGTTTAAATTCAAAATCAATTTAAAATATTATTGTAAACCAAAGTACATATAGTGTTATCTCCTTTTACCAAAAATTTGACAAAAATTCGTAATAAGTAGATAAAATAAAAAAAAAAAACCGACTTTAAACGTAAACTAAAAATCAAAAAATAAATTTACTTTGTTTAAAGTAATACATATTTTCATTTAGTTAAATATAAAATAATATTTAATAACTATTTTATAATCTTAAAGTCGGTGCCAAGTAAAAGCATAATAGTGTAAAGATATTACCTACCTACCTACATATCTCTTGCTAGTTTGATGATTAGAAGTATTCAATATATTTTTCTAATACTCTTATTGTTTGGTATGTAGTATTTACTTGGCACCGACTTCAAAATTATAAAATAGTTATTAAATATTATTTATATAAAGACATATTACTTTAAAAATGCATTACCTTTGAAATATCTCCACTAACACCCCACTTGTTAGTTCTCTGTAAAAAGAAAAGACGTATCTAAGTAAAATACATCGTATATTTCGCAAGGGAATACCAATGATCTGAGGTTATCTGAATTCGTAATTATATATAGCACAGAATCTGCGCCTCTAAATACTTCTCAAAGATAACTTAACAGCACCAACAAAAAACAGAAATAATTCTTCCTACTCTTTCAGATCAAACTTCTCAAAACCGTTGCAACTTCTGAAATCCAAGTTCTAATCAGTGCATAACCAGGTGATATCATTGGAGGCGAAGCAAAACGAAATAGTATCCACTACCCTCGGTAACTTAAATGCAAAAGACTTAATGACACTAAGAGACTGCACAACTACGAGATAAAGAGCAAAAAATGAAAGCAGTTTTATTATCAAGTGTGGGAGAGCCATTCTTCGGCACGAATGGGTTGCCTCGACCGGAGTGATACAACGGTCTCACAGATAACCGACGTGAAACAACCAGTGTTGTGTTTCGCTGTTTGAGTGAGGTTACCGGAGGCCCTTCTCCAAATCTCTGTACCCAAAAAGGTCCGCAACGCACTCATTATTCCTCTTCCGTCCATAGGCAGCGCTGATTGCTTACCATCAGGTAATCCATGAGCTGATAATGGAATGATGTACGTACGTCCTTTTGATCTGTAATCCTGTATATTCTTCGAGTGGAACTTACCGTAGAGTCAATGTTGGCGTGAGTCCAGGTCGGAGGCGGCTCCTTGTTCTCCAAGATCATAGGTCGCGCAATGACATTAATGTACTTCAATACTTGTTGCTGCACCTCCTCCACGGAGTGAATGTGCACGAAGTAACCTGACACAAACATTATTGTTTATCAACAAAATGGTTAGACTTATGTTTGGTTTTGTAATGACATGATATAGGCTATAAATAAAATAATAATATATACATAAATGCGTGCAGTCAATATATATTTGACTGCACGGTTGGCGCAGTGGTTGGGCGACTGGCTGCTGTGCAACGTGTCGCGTGTTTGATTCCCGAATGGAACAAAACTTTGTGTGATCCACAAATTGTTGTTCCGGGTCTGGGTGTGTTGTGTATGTGAAATTTATGTTTGTAAACGCACCCACAACACAGGAGAAAATCCTAAATTAGGGCAACGTTTTCTGTAATATATATACATACGCATATATATTTATTTATATCTATTTATTTATATACACAGATACAACACCCTTATATAATTTAAATAAACATTACACTGACAATTTATTGATTTAAGTATTTAAATATCATCGTCATCATCATAGCACATAAATGCTACATTCCTATTGCTATAATTCCTGCAAACCTATGACTCAAAAACTAATTTAGACACCTACATTTTGTATAACTACTTAGTTGAATAAATACACATTTTCGTCGGTATTGTAAAATAGCTCAATTTATAGCCACCTAAGTAAGTATACGAAAAATTACTAAAATGCAATACAATTCAGTCGTAAGAAAAAAAAATGTATAAAATATTCACCTCTATTTAAACACGCCATCCATTGGATTTCGCGAACATTCGTTACTTCTTTTCCAATAAGGTACGTGAATACTCTCACAGGGATGAACGTCTTCCCTCCGATAACCTCTCGGTTGTACTCCTCAAACACTTCAGTTAAGTTACCGGGTACATAGTCCGTGATTACCATCACCAGCTGATTGCAACCCTGGGTACTGCTCACGTTGCACTTGTCTCGTCTCTAAACACATAACCAATGAAAAAGTAAGAAACAAAAGTTCCATTATTTAGCATTTAATTTGTACATGCAAAAAACTGAATTTATTACGGTTTTATCGTCTAAAGGGGAACATCTACAGCCATTATCTTGTATGTTGACGAGGGTTGTTACGATGTAATGTCCCGGCTGGACGTCGCCCCGGACAGCAGCCTCACAAAACGTACCGTGAACGTGCCACTTACCTTCTTAAGTGCTGTAAAAGCTTTAATATACGCCGTCGTCAAATTTGCGTAACCCTCTAAGGGCACTTTATGAGTCTTTCCCTCGTCCGTCGGCTCAAGGGTATCAGTTAGAGTCTGTAGGTTCTCAGGAGTTGCTTGAACTAAGTCTAAAAAACAGTCGACTACAAAGTTTGTAGTGTTCTTAAACGTGTAAACATTCACGTAATCGTTGTTTGACAGTGTATCCAATAGTGAACGTAGTGTTCTTCTTGCCACATAGTTTTTAAATCCAGTCATCGAGCCCGATACGTCGAACAGAATAATCATGTCTTTGGAGCAAGTCGCGGCTTCAATGTACCAAGACATCACACGGCAATCGTATGTGTCCACTTCTTTAGTGTTCCACCTCATGCCAGGGTAGAAACGCAGTATTCCATGCGAACTACCAAAATATTGCCACGACAACGACGGATCGGAATTATAGTTTTTTAAAAATATATCATTAAGACCCTTTGACCATAAGATAGCGTTCCGGGCATTCGTTTCTGAAAATAAAGTAAAAATGATTTGCAATATCCTTTGATTATTCGACCAACAGTCTTCTACCAACGAACATATGCGAAGCTGCTAATATTCTATAAATACCTTATCACAAAGGCGAATAATGTACATTATCTCATGTAATGTTCTGTTAGTAAATAAACAGTCTTGTGTGGATAATATACATCAATCACAGATGGTTCATTCACCCAGCACATTGTATAACACTGCCCACGCCTGAACAATCATTGGATGGATAAAGCAGCGACTTTCTGAATCGATGTCGTGTGTGTGTTATTTTACGAGTATACCCAATAATTATTTTGTGTTATTTATACCCGTTAATATGACCCGAGCCGTGGTGGCCCAGAGGTAAAGAGAAACGTGGCTGATGTGATTTTTTTTCAAATTATATTTTCTATCTAATTTTATTTGGACGCCACTGACACACGTTTAAAAAAAAACGTCGTGATGGAACCACTTATAATACTAATACAGAACTTGTAATTTTTAATTTTAAGTTTGAAATTGCCAATCCGCCTCGAACAAGAGTTGTGATGTTCAATGTCTATGTGAGAAGAGGCATTTACTCAGCAGTGGACACTTATAGGCTGGTGATATGTATGTGATAATTATTTTGAAGGGTTTACTACCCTATTCTTTAAACTACAATAATTTTATTAATATTCAGTGGTTTTTAAAATAATGTTATGCCTGTAATTCCTTGAAAAGTGGTTGTGAAATAAGCATTAATTCACACTTTTCATTAGTGTGATTCAGTTAAAATTGCTCATGAAGAAAATAGGATAATTCAATTAATATATTTTAGTATTTAGTAAACAGACTTATTATATATCTTATATATAAAAATGGATCGCAAAATGTGTTGGTAAGCGCATAACTCAATAACGCCTGGACCAATTTGGGCAATTCTTTTTTTGTTGTGTTTGTTATTGTGAGGAGACGGTTCTTATCAAAGAAAATATTAGAAAAGTAGAGGGGAAGATTAGGAAAAAGTGACCCTTTGATAGCGAGATAGTTGGACCCGTGCGAAGCGGGGGCGGGCCGCTAGTATTATATAAGCAGAACTAAGCTCCTTTCATGGCGTCCTTGTACACCCGATCCTTGTTAAAGAGATACGTTGAGCAGTGGACCCGAATAAGCTGATTTGATGATGATGAAGCTCGCGTAAAATATTAATTAAAAATACGATAGGAACAACTGAGCTATGTTACAGCAGATCTTAGGTTGCAATTTATTTATTAGACAAACTAATGCTGATTGCGCGTTTGGCTCAGTAGCTGGGCAACTGGCTGCTGTGCAATGTGTTTCGGGTACGATCCCCACACGGAATTACTCTTACAAATTGTTGTCTTTGTGTGGATGGTGGTCTGAGCGTGACGTGTATATGTAATTGTAAGTTTGTCAACGCAACCATGACACAGGAAAACATGCCCAAGAAAAAGAACGAAAAGCAAAGACAAATAAATTACCTTCATCAAATATATTGGTGGGAACGTGAACACAACTGGTATTTGTGTTAACATTAATGTTGTAGAAATGTGAATCTTTCTCCAACGACACGTTGGTATAGTGTGTGCTGTTCAAAACATATTTTGGAAGCTTCTCCTCACTGTTTGGATCAGGATCATCGTTTTCATCTTCATAGAAGAACTTGGAATATTTTGCTGAACAATAATCGTATGGAACAGATTTATCATAAGTGTAGTTGAAGTTTCTCGCCAAATCTTCTGCTGTCGCATGAATGCACTAAAAGTATAAATGATACCATTATCACACTAGAACTCTGAATAAGAAAATGTAGTGTAGAATTAAATATTTCAACTCATAGCCGTGTTAAATTGGACTTTAATATGTCTAGCCATGGTAAACTTTTGACCTCCCGCATAGAAAAGCGTACCCTCCGCGTAAATTAGCAAATTCATGTTAACTCGATTTTTTATATTAAATACATTAATGTAAAGTAAGAATTCCTTTGATTTAAATGTATAATTCGTTTTCAATTTTCTCATTCAACTTGATAGTGAAACCATGGCATGTCAGTCACAAATTCACCATGGCCATCAAAGAGTTAAGTTGACCCTCCAATCTCAAAGATTATATCTTGAAATTTTCATTATTGATATATTTAACAAGGTCGACATTCGAATGCATAGTTTCATAGATTGATGTGCTAGTATTTGAACCACTCAGCAATTAATAGTTTCATGCAGTAAAAACCGCAAAATGCGGAGTGCTCAATATTATCAGCAAATTAATGGATTTTGGGATATAACCAGAACAAACAAAAAGATAATGCACCACACGTGTAGGTAATATCACAATAATGTATGCATCTTTGTTTTTGATATTGTTAAAAATACATTAAAAGTTACGAGAAACATTTTTATTGTGTATTATTAATTGTAATATTTCACAAACCAATTAAATAAATGCTTCAAAAAAGATCAACTAGAAAATGAAGTAATTTACAATGTCATATATTTTGTTTAAAATGCGAGGGGTTCTGTTAAAGAGGAGCTGTTAAGTTGTGCAATTTTTTAAGAAAAATGACTTTTGTATCGTAATGTTGCATATTGATCATTCGGGGATAAATTGATACTCGTATATTTGGCAAGAAAAATCGGTTGTTCGGAAATGGGTGCTTTTACGTTCCGTTGGACACTACACAAATTGAAATATATAGTACATAATTAGTTTGTACTATAAATACGCTTAAAAGGACATGGCCAAAAAAGTACATTCCACGTACACGAACAAAATTAATACAATGTAAAATACAAATAGAAATATGAATTATTACGTAGTTTTCAGCCTCTCCAGACCTGACAATTATTATTAAAAAAATGTAAAAGTAATGCAACAAAATCAACTTCGTTTGTCAAGTTTCGCCATAATAGTCCATAGAGAAAGATAAATAAAAAGACGTTCCAATTCCAAACCACGTGTCTTATATATATATATATACTACACTCGTAGAAAACGTGTGATATGATCAACAAATGCATTACATTAGGAACATTTTATTCATACGAAACTGTATTCATTGGTTTTAGTTGCATTTTAAAATATACTCATATTATAATAATCATATGTTTTATTTTTATCCAATTCACCAAAAAAAAAACTTAAACGAAACGGAACGTGTTTGACACTTTTGACAGCGTGTTTTTGTTAACCTTGCTAATAATACTGGAGTAACTGTTTTGCGTTTTGGATTTGTTTTGTGGATTACGATGAGGTGCATCAACTGCGGAATAGGCGTACAAAGGGTGCAGAGGCGTCTTATATCCTCGCTTTCTGCACACCATCAAACAAAACTTTCACGTTGGTTAACCAGCTCAAACCCAGGTATGAAGTCGGAATAGTATAATACTTAGTCTGTTTTTTTATGGTTTATCATGGTATGCGATTTTAAATAGTGCATCTTTTTTTTAGTTGCCTCTGGGGACATTCATTTGTCAACCACGCTTCTTATTATTGAATACTGGTGAACATGAGAGACTACTGGGGCATAACATGGCTTGCCTTGGTTGTGGAAAATCGGTTCGAAAAATAAGACACCATAATGTCAGTATGGACTCTCCATTGCTAGCTGGCCTAATATCACAAAATACTATTAATGTGGTAAGCATTTTGTTTTTTATTCATTGTTTTATATATGTACTTGTATTTATCTATATTAATCTATAAAAAAAAGTATTTATAGTAGGTATGTGTGATTATAATATCTATCTTTATGTATTTTCCATGTTTGCATAGACTTCTTTAAAATAGGCATGTTGTAACATAATACTTCTCACTGTACAATAACATAAAACTTGAAAACATGTGTTTATTCTAACTGGGGTTTATTTTCAGACCTCAAGAAGCAACTATGTTTGTCATGTGTGCTGTATGCGGGCAAATAGACAGACAGTGCAGGACTTATCACGAAACTTGCAGGAATTGGGTTCGGACAACAATGCAGTAGCCCCTTATATTCAAGTGGTTAGTCCACCAGAGCCACCACCATTACCACCTGTTTTAAGCAGGCCGCTTCAAATGGAAAGTACTACCATATTATTACCCAATTATACAGAATATATATTAAAGAAACGTACATTCCATACACAAACATAATAAAATACACTTTATAATAAAAATATAAAAGTGAATTATTACGTAGTTTTATTTTATTTGTTCTCCTTAATAAATAAATCATTATTCTTTATATTCTTTTGTTTTATTTTATAAATAAATAAATAAATAATTAATTAAAACGCCATGGTTTTTAAAAGCAAAATCTTATTTCGTGCACTTATGGCCAGTAATCTGACTAAAGGTTTAGTGAAACTATTTTCGACTTGTTTGTTAAAATTACGAGTTCTTCGTGTGTTTTATTTTTTGCAATTTAATTTAATAATATTCACGAATGTAAACACCAAAAATCATTGATGTACATTGAATTCAATAACTATGCAAACGCCCATACAAAAGTTGGCCATGTCCTTTATGGGTAAATTATAAGAACGTTGTGAAACAGGCATTTAATTTAATTAATGTTACTGAACTTTCGAATGTAGGTATTACCTAATAAACTACCTAATGCCACTGGAAATTGCATAATGCGTAGTAACAGAGCGAATGCATTAAGTAAATTGAATTAGTTATCGAATACATATGTTTACGGTTATCGCCTAGCTTTTAGTCTATGGTCAAGCATGGCGTGAGGCTAAAAGTAATGATATCATAAAAGTTACGACTATAGTTACCTTGACAGCATTGATTTTGCGCGTAAGCATATTGCTCACAGAACGAAGCGAAGACTCCAATATTTGCTTTCCTTTTTTACTTTTCACGCTCGCATTCATTTGTTTGTATTTCTGCGAATAAATTATACGATTGACATGTATTAGGTATATGGAGCAAATATTCTTAAATGGGTGATTCAGGAAAGGCCGCGATTTCTTTCTTTTTGCATTTTGCAACGCTTTGGTAAAACACAGAGTAAATGTTTTTAAGGTGCTTTTTTAAAAGTGCGTGAGCGTTTTTGTTCTACGTTTTTTTGCAATTCACAGCTCGATATACTCCTTACTTCGTAATTTACATATACAAGCTGTAATACCATAAAGCTATCAACATTAATCTATAAGTTAGGAGGGGCATTTTTTGATCAAATGATTTTGTCCCACCCAGAGTGAGTGAGAGAGTATCAGACTCTTACTCTGACTCTGACTAAAAAGCACCCGGTTCCTTCTTCTGCTCCAGGTGGAGGCCATGGTATATTATTCTTAGAAAGGACTTACAACGTTAAGATTTTGCATTTTTTTAAAGCCTGTCTATTATTATTGCGGTAGTATGTTGATAGCTTTAATAAACCTAATTGTGTGTATTTTATTACCGCATCTCTATGTTATTACACATAAAGTACAATGATAACCAAATACAGAAAAAGAGGTAGAAGAAGAAAGACAGGTCCTTATATAGGTACCTACTAGCCTACTACATATTCCTGAAGGGAATTTCTCCTTCGGTAGGAGAAGTTATGAGAAATAATGTTTTATCATCACGATATATGTATATATCGTGTATATTGTATACAATATCATCACAAAAAATACGATATCGAGCTGTATTTTGCAAAAAATAACGTAAATTAAATTTAATTTTGTGGGCGACTACCTTAATAAATTACGTTATTGCATGAACTCGAAGAAAAATACTAGACTTAGTTACTGGTAATGTGTAAATTCAGTATATACATAAATATATTATTAAGATAGTTATCAAAGATAAACACGTTATGGTACTCACGATTCTGATCTGATCTGATTTTGTGAGGGCTTCGCTTAGCTTCCATAGTTCATCCCCAAGCGCTCTCGCCCATACTTTTACACTACAAAGAAAAATACTTGATCAACATAAAGAAAATATAAAAGAAATCCAACAGTAATTACAAATTAATAGATCTTAATTAGTAAATACGGGGTGTTTAATATTCCGCTCGTCCAAATAATAAGCGGCTGTAAACGAAATTACAGGTTGTTTTGTACACTGCGTTACAAAAAAAGGGTCTAAGCTTTTCTTTTAATATGAAATACGTAACTAAGTACGTGTTTAGAAAACTTTTATTAATTCAGAAGTTGGTTCTCCAAGGAGTTGTTTTCGTATATTAAAGGAGTATAAAAAGGTCAATGCATGTTTTTCGACTAAAGTAAAACTTATTTTATACAAGTCATAAGTACATGATTTATGTTATAAACTTAAACAAATATTACAGTAGAATACACACAGATGTATTTTATTCGAACAGAAATGGAAAGTGTAATAATTTTTACCATGTTTTTTGCACCACAATATATTTGCGAGCAACCAGGGTCCGTAATGAGGCGCAAATAAGGATCCGTACATAATGATCCGAAAAACAAAGGTTTCTTTGGAAAAGCTGTGATTTATTGTTCAATAAATTTGTAAGGGCTTTAAGGGACACCGTGGTGAAAACTACAATAACGAAAAGCAATTCTTCAAAAAACATTTTAATTTATATTCGTTTTGTATTTACTGAAATATTGACATCAAATATATAAAATATTTACTAGCTGATAGAACGGCCAACGTTGTTTTGCCAAATAAATTATTTATCACTTAAGGGTGTGAAAAACAGACAGTAAGATTCTCAGACCTTGTGAATATGGATATAAAATTTGGTATAAATCAGTAAAGCCGTTTCGGAGGAGTAAGCTACAAAGCCATTGTGACACGAGAATTTTAAAGATTGACTTTACTTTTATTATACCTAAAAATAAATGAACTGAGTGAATAAATCGAATGATATTAACAATACTATGTATTTTATATGCTAAAGAACTTTTGAAAGGGCATCCCTTCTACTCCCTATAATTCGTGGTCTGTAAGTATGATGTTCTTGAATGTGCGTCACGTCTCGTTCCGGTGTCCGGACTCGTGTCCGGCTTTGTATCATAATGTTCTTCGAATAAACTTACTTTGTAACACGTACTCTACGCGTAAACAGAAACTTTACTTGTTTATGTTTTGTCTCTTTCACTGTGCACTTTATTATGAGTTTATTAGGATAATCAGATAAAACATAAAATGTAGAAGTACGAAATGAAAGTTAACAACTAAAAAACACTTCTGAGAACTGTTTGTGACAGTTTAGTTTCAAAGTGAGTAAATTATTCAAACTGTTTTAGCTAGATGAGAACCCACGAGCTTTATGAATGCATAGAGTAATAGTTTTCATAAATAACAGATAAGACTTACGTGTCTGCTTTCCATGCGGGGGCAGGCTCGGGCACAAACAGTAATGCACATACTAACACGAACTTGAAACTTTGCATATCTGCGGCGGTGACTCACACTCGCTTATAACAAGTAATTATTGCGTTCCGTTTCGTTAAACTACGCGAATATTACAGGATAAGGCACATCGTTTCAGTGTTTGTTACATAAATAAGGCTCTTCACGATACATCACAAAATATATTACTCTACACAGCTAATAGGCTAAACACGAAACTATGACAGATAAAGATCAACGAAACCTAACTGTATCAGGAAGATTTCCCGGTAAAAGATAACGAGCAAGGCCACTACGATTCCGAAGCACAGTAAACATTCAGTCACTAAATACTTTCACGTTAACGAGTTTATTAATAGTTTACGTAGAGTTTCGACTTGAGTTTTGTCGTCCGTTTACGCGGGGGATCACAACACGGGTTACATGGTTGTCTTATGAGAGCGTGGCTTTAGATATTTAGTGTGACAGCGAGTGCGGTGAGCGGGACGCTGCTGGTGCGGGCCGGGCGCGAGTCGAGCGCGAGCCGACGCGAGCCGGGCAGGGAGCGGGCGCGGGCGTGTGTCGCGGCCGACGCACGTGCTGCGTCTATTCTGGGCGGGCGCCGGCGAGCGCTTCGGGCGGCATCGAGCGGACCCGATCTAGGTCGGCCCGTGTCTGTCCACACACTGCTACCGGCGCGCATCCTACCCAGTCGCCCGCTACTACTTATAATTATAGAAATTACAACTTTTTGTCTCAACGAGCGCACGGCTTTTTAGTTACACCTTGATTTACATTGTCTTTAAACAGTTTCATTGTTTTTAAAGCTACTAAAGTACTTTAGTAGCTTTAATCGTAGTTTACCGAAAAAACGTATATTTATATTATTCGAAAACAAATACACTTTAAGTAAGACTTTAACTATAAAAAAGCGTAATCAGTAGGGTTTAATTAGTACCCATTTTCACAAGCTTTCTACCAAAATAAGTCAACCGGTTCAATATCTTGCGCGATATGGAAAGTTAGAATCAGAAACCGAAACAAGAGATTAGCTATCTGGAAATCAATAGTGGTATCTATTTTCGTTACATTTGTATGCAGCGGCACTCATATTCTCGACATGTTTTTGTGTAGCCAAGAAACTTTCATAGAATGACTCAAGATGCAAGATTTATTCCATTCTTAAAACACAAGCCGTAACAAAAATTTGAAAATGTTCAGTGGCACTTACTACGACGCTTGTTACTAAAGCTACGCTTCGTAGCAATTCTCGTAGCAAGCGCCTATGTGACCTTAAACTTAATCAAGAGCTTGATTCGTTCTTATTTGACTTTTTAATTATTTTTGTTCTCATTACTTAACAAATTAGGCGCGATAAAACTTTGTTTCAACAAATCAAATTCTATTTATCTCGAGTTTCGTAGTCGTAATTAATTTCTTTTGAAAGTTGGCGGTGGGTGACTGATAAGCATAATATATATTTTGACTAATATTTCATTTTTGTCTATTTAATACGTCCGATTGATGCAGCGTTATGCCTCAATTCTGCTTAGTGGCTAATAAAAGTTTGAGTTTAATTAAGTTTACCAATTTCAATATGTTTTTACAGCATAAAGAGAGGGAGCTTATTGTTCATCCTTCTAGAATTCTATGCATAGCAATTTGCTGGCATACAGCTGTCTCTAACAGACATCTCGTTTAACTGCAAATGATAGCCTTAGCTGTACATAATGTCTCACAGAAGTATTTATATGCATTTAACATCTAGACAGTAGGAAAATGAATTTTCTTTTTCGTGTCTAACCTTATTTTTCAGTTGGATTCGGTGTCATATATAGGGCTTGCTCAAAGCGGCTGAATCTTTGCGTTTTTTGTAGAAAACGGTTCGATATTTGCCAAAAAAGAAGGCATATTGCCGTTGCAAAGATTGGGTAGAACGTTTGAAAAGGCCAATCACGTCTGTTCAGAATAAAAACAAAGTTAGTAAAGGATTTTAGAAATCCATCCGTTTTGTTATAGGATGGTTAATTATGATTTTGTTTTAACTTACCATTATGACGGTAGATGTTATCTAATCTAGGCAAAAGTAAATAGGTACTAATCTGCGAACCTAAATGTGCAAGGACGCAAGGTTAGGGCTTCATTACACCACGTGAAATAAACCGATTTAATATGCGGAGGGTGTCGAGTGGGGCGTGTAAACATTACTTATAAACATTCAGTTGGGTACACAAGACCGCTCCGGCCATAACAACCTGCCTACATTATTTACACTTGAAAGTTTCGCTTTTAAGTGGATCGTTATCTTTACGGCCTTTTACAGGATAAATATTACGCACCGTTTTTGATCTGCGGTGGCAGTGTTTGATGTTGGCTGTTTATATTTATAACTGTTTTATATGTGGGATCATGAATAAACATAGCAGTCAAACATATCTCAAAAAGGGTCTACATATAAATATAAGCAGTAATTGCCCTCTTACCCAGGGACATATGTAAGTATATTATGTAAACGAAACGTATGTAAATGAATATTTGTGTATTTAAATTTGGAGTAAAATTGTGTATTGACTAAATACTTAAAAGCAAACAAAGCATGAACTATAAAACCTTGAACAGAATGAAATGAATAGAATAGAAAAACGAGGGAACTTTCTCGGAAAATTGAAGACATAATGATCATGGATTTCCGAGAATTTATTGTACTCGCTCTTTGTCGAGAGGAATGTCTTCATGCCTTGGTGCGGAGCAATAAGAGGAGCGTTCTGACTGATGAAGTTTAAGCAAGCCATTATTATTCAGCCCTCGTCCGTAATTGTTACTTGTAAAATACGCTAACAACGTCGGTCGTAAGATTTGTTTCTGTGAATCAATCTAGTTTGTGTGTACAATAAATTGAAACAAACAAGTGATTCCATTTGTCTCTTTAACCTAAATGCTGTTTACCTAACTAAAAGTCGTTTTATAGTAAATTAAACCTTTGACTTTGTCAAATTTCTACTGTATCAGTACTTGTATAAAACTTTCTTATTTCATCATTTGCTTCGTATCTTGGCCATTGAATATTGTTACGAAAATATTAAATATGATTTAAAATTAAATATTGGTTTTCCAAGTCGATGAAGCATTACATCGCGTCGAGCCAGCGACGGATAGCCGCGGGGGCGACGAATGCATTAATTTAATAGTCGCCCCAGCACTCTGTTCATTTCTTGATGGCGTCATAAATACTAACAAGAACCTTAACGCTGTGAAATGGAATCCTACAATATTTTCACTTTGCTATAGCTGTGTATTTTAAGTTTGTGACTTAAAACTGGCGGCAAACGAGCTTACGGTTTACCCTATGGTAAGCAATCAGCTCCACCCATGGACACCCGCAATAATAGAAGACTTACGAATACGTTGCCAACTTTTGGGGATTAGGGATTTGGAGATTTAAGGGTTAAGGAGGGATTGCGGGAGGAGAATTGAGTAAGTGAATTGACACACGGCGACACACAACGCTGTAGTTTTTCACCCCAGTCTTCTGTAAGGCCGTGGTATCACTCCGGTCAATCCGACCCTTACGTGCTGAAGTATAGTTCTCCCAGACTTGTGTGTAGATACCTTGATATATATTTATAATGGTTTTAAGGCTCGGCGTTTGACGGTATCGATCGCTGCATAAAGTTTCACAAGTAATATCAGCTGAACATTTTAGAAGTCTTTCCATAAGAAGTTATTTACGACATGGAGTATGTATGCCTAGAAAGGAGTGGAGTAAACATTTGACATTGGTATACTTATGAAATATTTTCCTACTTCTTTACTCTCGGAGTAATATGCGACCGCAACGCTTGGTATCAACTTTTATTGTCATTTTTTCTTTGGCAAAGTATTTTTAGGGCTTGATGAATATTATCGAAACGAATCTCTTCAATCTAGAATTACGAACAGTATCTTTACTTTTTATACATATAAACCTTCCTCTTTAGACACTTTATCTATGTAAATAACCGCATCAAAATCCGTAGCGCAGTTTTGAAGATTTAAGCGTACATAAAGATATAGGGACGGCGATAGTGAATAATAAACAGATTTACCACAAGTAAATCTCACTCAAGTATATACCCTATATCGTATACTTAGACCACATAATTACGTAACCTTTAGTACCTACCTATAAGGGTCTGTAAGTACACCGAGAGGTCAACAGGCGCCATTGTATGAATGCCCATACAAATGAAAGCAAAGGCAGGCTTGACTTTCTAAAGGGAAATTTTCGTTTCGTCATTCAAAAAGACATGAATTCTTAATTACCTTTTTAATGGTTTTCTTGATATCTCTTTGGTTAGGGAAAAGGTTAGGAAAGGAGTCATTTTCGATTTTTAAGTTAACATTTTAAGGACATTATCATTACGAGGGATTGGACCAGTTTGCCGGCTGCAGTCTTTCCGTCCGAATATAATTTAGGTGTCTTCAAGGCTAAAGTGAATAGGCTTTTAATAAACTAGTGCAACTTACCATCAACGATTTCATCACTGCTTACCATCAGGTGGGATCGCAGTCAAGCACTAGTTTATAGCAAGTAAAAAAAAATTAATATAAAATATGAATGTTAGCAAAATCGAATTTTCTCTTACAAATAAACATTCAGCGAATTGAATAAAATAAATGTAGGTAAGTACAGAAGTTTTAAAAATTGCTTTCGAAAAGTTTTATGAAAATGTATCTCGCCTTTGTACTTTTCAAAAGTAGGAATAATGTAGGACCCTTAGTAGGTGTAAAGCATTTTGACAGCTTTCGTATTGAGTTTAAAATTCAATTTATTTTTTTAGATATTTTAAGATAATGCGGTGGAATTTTCTGCTGTGTTTTGTCTAGCTATTATTTGAATTGGTGCGTCATGCTATTACTTTTTTGTCAGGCGCTTATTCAAATCAACTTTTTACTAACGGTTATTCGCTATTTTTATAGGAAAATGAACTTTGTACTCTAAAAAATCGCAAATACCAGATTTACAATTAGTATCGACGACAAGGTGCAGTTTATCAACTAGATTCCTAACTTTTAAGAACTAATTTACCGTAAAGGAAAGTTTCGTCTTCGCTACAAGGATCCAAATCGATGTCATTAAAGTAAGGAAGAGTGAACAGTGAAAAACATCTTGTCTTTAACTAAGTACTTAAAGAAAAACGAGCGCTTTTCCTTTCTCTCTAATTAATTTGTGCCGTGTTCAAAAAGCATCAGCAACGATCAATATGATTTTATATAAGACAAACTTACTTCTATTACAATTCATTTAGGTACTTAGTTATATTATTAAATTTGTGCAAATAAGCTACTTGAAAATGTACCTAACACCATAGCTAACTTTTATCATAATATACAAAATAATATACAAATAATATACATAATATACAAAAACGACTGAATTTTCAATTCATACTCATAAAAAAATCTACCTTATTCTTAGTGATGAATTACAGACGTTTTAGTTTGATTCCAAATCAAAAACAAATCTCTTACTGTCTCAAACAATCATCGAAATGTTACTACCTACTGGTATAGCTCATGAAAATTAAAATACTACAGAAAACATTATAATACTCCCTCGAAAAATAACGTTAGTCCGTTATTTATTTACAAAAGAACACTCACTAAATAAAGTGGCCGGGAAATAAAAACATAAAGCACTCAATTCGTAAAAATTCAATCAAAAGTGTACGTTGATTTAATATTCCCGATAAGACCCACAAAAAGCCCAATCTCCGCAAAGAAAAACAAATCGTAACAGAACGAATCATAGGTAGGTACTCGGTGCTTCCACATTGCAAACACATTTTTCCAATCCCCTAAGAGTTCAACACAAACAACGCTTTTAGTTTCACAAAGCTTTCTCATCGATAAAACTATTTTACTGCTACCTTTTGTCCTCGACTTTACTTGAAGATATTATTGAAGAACTAATAGTAGAAAGTAATTAGTCTTTTCAATCTATCTAAGACAAATGTTCTATCAAAATTAGTTTAACAGTTAAGGCGGAAAACCGTTACAAACATACAAAATTCTTATTTTAAATAAATCTGGATTTCCATTTACCTTTCAATCGTGTTAATACGAGACACAGTAGAAGAACAATATGTGCGCGAATGGGCGTTCGCTTGGGGTTCGATGAATTAAATCATTTGCTTATTTAAACGAAAAATGAATTCCAGCTGCTTCGTAGATGGTATCGTGGCCGCGGACTAGGGCAGGAGAAGGAACGGGCGTGTTTTTAAGACAGAAATAGTCTGACACTCTCTCTTACCATAGCCTGGACAAGAGAAGCCATTTTATGATTTTTTCACCTCAAAAAAAGTATACTAAGTATATACTAGAGAATTGAATCTGATATATCTTTCCAAACAATCGATCTTACGATTATTCAAACAACGGCACAATCAGAAGTTTTCACATTACGAGTAGGTATCAAATAAATATTTCCATTCGGTTCCATTACCGGCCCGGTAAATACGATGAAACCCCCAACAATGGGATGGGAAAGGACAAATGTGCTCCATAAACCTGAGACATGATATATTCTTTGATGTCAACGCACGCCTTTGTGTTGTTGTTTTCATTTGAAATAGGAACGCAACATTTTTCCTGCTAGTAGGCCCATGGCAATACGTAACTGACAGATCAAGTAAAATTACTCGCTTTAATATGAATTACAACTTAACACATAAAGAAGGGTTTTGTATGGTCTACTACCAGTGAAAAAAATACGTGTTTACGGAACAAGCGCAAAAAGGTAAAGGCCTGGAGCAGAAGAAGGAAGCTGGAAAAAGTTTTTAGTTAATTAAAGTCTGACAATCCCCCTCATCTCACCATGGGCGAGAAAAGTTATTTGATGATTTGCCAGTGAAAAAATGTTGACATACCTAATCAATTTTATGGGAAAGGATGGTAAATCTAGCAGTAGGATTGTCACCTAATAGTGAGCAATCGACGCTGTCCATAGACATCCGCTACATCAGAGGAGTTACAAAAGCGTTGCCGGTTTTTGAATATTGAGATTCAGGTAAA